CGCTTTCTTCGGAGAAGACATTGCTACACTCTGTTGCTACACTTTACAATTAATTTTTGTTTACAATTTTGCAACATCTTCAGTGGGGCTAGGACTCCTCGTCGCGCTCGCGCCCGAATTTTGGCGCTGTTTTTCGCAACTATGATTGTTCAAATTTTTCTTTCGGAGACGTCCGCATTCGTAATGAGGAAATTCTATCGACCAATGAAAAGCGCGCAATATATGGATTAGGCCAGAGTTCGTGGTTGCTCGCGCCCTCAGGCCAAGAGGAACGCGGGCTCTGGAACGAGATTGATTGATTCTAACAAAATGTTTTGCGCATGTTTGTGTAGGGCAAGATCGCTGTACTCTGTAATCGCAGACAACCGCTATCGCAGGGTGTCCATCGGCCGTAACAAGTGGAAGTCGTTGATTCCTGGCTCGTCTTTGCAGAAATACTGCAACCGAGAGGGATTCAATTCCAAATCGACAGTAACTTCACGAAACATCGACAGGGTGAGAATCGGTATTATATCAAATGAGGGCAAAGGATGCAAGTTGCCTGACTCCCGCCTTGGCTTTGGAGGTACGGGATGGAACTGTGGGAAAAAGTCTGATAACTTGATATTTACAGGAAACAAAGCAAGATGCAGTGCGGACAACGGGAACAAGGCCATTAAAACTTTCGGCTACATATTGGTTCAGTAATTCGTTTGAGCTGTTTTTCTGCCAGATCCATTATTTCTTACTTTCTACTCCCTTCTAAAATTTCCTACTGCGAGTTGCAGTCGTAGGTTTTCTATCATTTTTAAAATTAAAACCACAAAAAAACAACTGATATCCCACAATACCTTGTGATTGAACAGATTACCCAGGATGCCTTGTGGTCAAACAGATATCCCATGATACACTGTGTTTCAAATTTCCTTGAACTAAAATGGTTAAAAGGTATAAGAGAGAAAGCAATCGATGATTCCTTAGCCCTTCTGACTTGTTTGCGTTCTTAAAAAAGTAAAAATTCAAAATGATATAAATCAAATTCAACACTAAAATGCTAACGATTATTTTCATCATTATCATTGTCATCATATCCTCCTGTGTGCACTGTTCTGTTTCTGCAACAGCAGACTTCTAAATAGAATAACTTAACAAGAAATAATGGTTCTGGTGCAGTTTGAATGAGAAATTAACAGTCCACTATAAAAGGTAAAATATTAAGGGTAACTTAGTACAGAATGAAGATAAATTTTAGACACAATCAAATATGATTTGTTTCATATTTTTTATTATTGT